TTAAGCTTATTTTAAAAATTATTTTTAACTTTTTAGTTCGATGTGCTTTAAAAGCGTGTTTTTTTAAACTATATTTATTTTCATTTTTATTTTCTACTGCGACCTTTAAAATAATAATATGTGTATTGTGTTTTATTTTATTATATTTAATTTAACAATTGTTTATGCCAATAATTAGCGGTAGTATATTTAAAGTTGCAATCTCCAATAAGCACCCACGAGCCGCCACTGCATTTATTTTTTAAAGCANCCAATAAACGAGCCGCCACTGCATTTATTTTTTAAAGCAATCTATTTATACTCAAAATTTATTTTTAATAATTGGGCTTATAGGGTACTTAACTAAAGAATTGTCTTAAATATAAAATATAAGTAAACAAATAACAGTCAACTATTTAACAACTGAACCAGTAAAATAATTCTTATCGATTATTATTGAGCATTTTTACAACTGAATATTACATAGTGGATTGTAATAATAAACCATATCTTAGCTACAATCAGTTTAAAAATATACTATTCGAAGAATGTCAACATAACCTTAAAATGTAATTAATTAATAGGCTGTAAAACTAAAAAATAATAATAATGCTATTATTACAAATTATTTTTATGCCGATATATTTTTTCGGTATATACATAATATTAATTATATTATGATATGATATATTAATCTTATATATTTTTATAGTTTTCTTTACTAAATACTTAACACAATCAATTATAATTTTAATTCAATACAAATTAAGTTCATTGATGTTCTAGCTGCATTTTTGCGAAAATTCACTATTTGCAAAAATATATTTTTATAATCAACGTCTTCTATACTACATGTATGTAAAATATTTGATGAAAAATCACATGAATTACTCAAAGGAAAATATATAGTATGATATCGTAGAAATTCCTTTGTCGTATAGAATACATTTCTTCCTAATTTCCCATCAATTATTCAGGTAACATACGACCATTAGTATTATATATCGCCAAAAGCTAAACTTGACGATAAAAGCTCTTTCTCAGTCTATTATTCTCGTTGCTTTGTGTTTCGTTAAACGACTTACTATAATAAACTAAGTCATATATAATATAATATGTTGATACATATAATAATATTATATGAATCAAGAAAAAATTGAGGAACAGTCAGATGACATATTAAAGCAATGTGTGGAAATAAATAAATATATTTTATGACGTTTTTTACTGTAAAATTATTGTTGTTTAATCTTTTAAATTAAAACAACATAGGTAAATACTACTAGTGCAAGAAATACATTTTTATTTTCAAATATATTATTTATTTATAACTTTATTAACACTAATAGAAACAAAACTATAATATGATTACTTTATTTGAGACTCAATCTGTAAAATGATGGTAATAGTATTACCATATTAGCAAAACAGAAAAAGTGACCTACATTTGAATCTTTAAACTAATTTATATAAAAATAATATTTAAAATATATATTTTTAGGAAATGCTCTTCTTGCACCCAAATCCACAATGTATCACCTTCACTTTAATAACTCTAAATAATTGATAGGATAAAAAAAGCATTATTTAAGGAAAACACAAATGCCATAATTTTAGATATCATATGTTTAATTAAGCAAATAGTAAATATTAAGAACTATGATGAATATTTTATTATGGACAACTTTTTACAAGTTATATGAACATTATTTTGGTTAATAGATTATCAATAAATGATAAATGTATTAATTTTCATTTGTATACACTGCAACATTCTAATTTAAGAACTGAAACCCTCTGCAATCCATTTTTAAAAAAAATTATCATAAATTCAATGATGTTGGAGTAAATTTTAATATTCATCTGAATATAATCTTGCATAACACATATTTAATAATAANTAAATTTTAATATTCATCTGAATATAATCTTGCATAACACATATTTAATAATAAAGAAACTATTATTAGATTTAAAATATATTATTATACCTCATTGTCCAACACAATAATTTTAAATTACATAAAATAAAATAGTATGAAAAATAAACAAAAAGTAATCTAAGGATTTAGGCAATCATTTTAGAATTGTAGAAATATCTGGTAAAGTCTTGTTTTGAAAAACATATTGGAAATACTCCACACATGGCTTTTTTGTGCGAGGTCGATCAGCATCTCTAAAATCAACTTTATAAATTCCAAACTTGCTAGAACTAAAAAAATAAACCGTATATTTTATATTATATTTTAATAATTAAAATTTAACAATGAACAGTTTTTATTATTCTTTAACTTTTTTAATTTAGCTTACCTAGGACTGACCCACTCAAAAGAATCCATTAGCGACCAAACGCTATACCCAATTATATTAACACCATCATCAATCAAATTTTTTGTTTCGGTAAGAATCGCCTAAAAATATTTTCAATTTATAAAAAATGAAAAGACTTTTTAAAATCAAAAATACATTATAAATATTAATTTAAAATTAAAAAATAAATAAATAATATTTAACTTAAAAACTACAAAAATTACTAAAAATTCGTGAATACATTTTTGGGAAACAATGATACCATTATTAACCCTCAACATATGCCGACTCTTTTTTATTATTATTGTGTAATTAAAGACTTTTTAGGAATTATAATAAAATTAATTTTAATATTTATGAACACTATTAAACTTAGTATATTAAATTAGTATTACTAATTAATACTATTGAATACTATAGTAATAAATATAACATGATAACACAATAATGATAGTAATTTAGGATATTACTTTATATATAATTATAATTTATGTTCTAACAATAACTAATCCACGTATTTTTCATGATATTTACCTGATGATATTCAATTTTATTTTTATTATTTTCACTATCATCAGCCAACCCATTTTCAGAAATGAAAAATTTGGGTTCTCTTATATCAGAAATTTTTCCAAATGTATCATTTAAATACTGCATTACATTTCTAAATCCCAATACTGTCTATAAAAAAAATATTAATTGAGTTCAAGTTATTAAAAAAAAATTATTATTATCTTACGTCTTCTAACTCTTCTTTTTCGTCCCAACTAGGTGTTATAGCCCTTTGATCAATTGTTTTTAAATCATTATTTGGATCAAATATATCTGCTTCTGTCATAGCGGTAACATTTAACGAATGATAATAGTTTACTGATATGAAATCATAACTTCCTGAAAAAAGGTGTCACAGATCACAGAGTTAAAATCTGCATCCAAATTAACTGTCTAATTATAAAAGAAAAGATAAATGTTATTAATGTAAAATTATTGCTAATTAATAAAACAATTACTTTTTTTAGTTAACTTGAAATACCGACCCAACTTGAAAATAACACATATAATAAATAAAGTTTAAAAAACACGCTTTTAGAGCACATTGAACTAAAAAGTTCAAAATAATTTTTAAAATAAGCTTAAAACAATATTGAACGAAAAGTACTAGTATTATTGTGATAAAAGCGTCGGGCGCTCAATATACGAAAAATATGGCACAAAGCACCCACGCTTTTATCACAATAATACTAGATTTTATGTGTACTTTTCCTATCTTAATGAAAAATTAACTATTTAAAATGCTTTTTCATATGCTTTCAAATAATATAAACATTTATCAATTATTGGTCTTTTAGTTATTTTAAAATTGGCAATTTCATCATATCATCCTGTAAGCAATTGTTTAAATTACCTACATTCTAAAAATAAAATCATGATTGTAATAAATTATTGATGTTTTATTGTTCAAAACCAATTTTTTTAATTTTCGTTTCATTACAGTAGCAATTCAGTATCATTCAATTAAGAATAAAGAAGAAGATATTTTTGATATAAGACTTAGATCTAAAAATGATATTCATAAAAAGAGGATTGATTTATTCTGATAGACAAATTCGTATATCACACAACGCGAAACAAAGAAAAAATTAAATATCTAATAAAAATTAAAAATTATTTCCAAAAACCACCATAAATTATTAAAATTAGTCTACTAGGTTTATGGAATAACTTTTTTTAAAAGTCATTGAGTAAGATGTGATTTGGGTAGAAATAGTTTCAGGTTCATGGTAAAACAGTAATGTAAATCAGTTATTATTCTCATATCCCTTTCAATACAGTGCTAAAAACTCATAGCTACACCCTAACTATGGCTCTACTAGCAAAATTGGGCAATTTAATGGAAATAAAAATTAAGTTAAGTTAAATATGAACAATGTCGATAAATTAACAGTTAAAAGTTATTAAATTATAAATTTAACTAGATAAGTTGAGTTTTTTTGATACTTAACTAGTTTAAAAAAAGTTTATCTCATTTAAGATTAATTTTTCGGCTAAAATCTCTCAAAATCATTTTTTATTGGTAGGTGATGTAATGGAATGCTAAGAATCGATTTTCAACTTTAAAAACTGAATATGAAGAAAATATTAATGATAACATAACATATTTTTTTTATTCGCTTGGTACATTTTAGTGTTGGTTACATTGTTTTATCTTTAAAACTAGTTATTAAAAAAAAATCACATACATTTTTGAAAATTTTCAGAAAATTATATTTATTGTTATATAAATATAATTTGGCATATGGTCAAAATCAATTTTATTTTAAATTTTGAATTTAGCTTAACTGTTATTTTAACTAATTAACTGAAAAAAGCTAAATAATTTCAACGGAAAATTAAATTAGTCAAATGAAAAAGTTTATTAGAAAAATAATTAACTAGTTAGGTTGAAAAATTAAAAAAAATTAACTTTTTAACTAGTTAATGCCCACTATTGATCAAAACAATATATCATTCAAAATTAAAATTTTAACCTCTTCACACCATTTACACTATTAAGTACTCAAATGGATTGTGCAACCAATTATTTTTTTTTATTAATTTACGATTGTAAATTTTTAGTACTTCCCATGACAAAACATACAAAATTTTGTAAGCAACAATACAAAAATTGATTTTTTTCCAATATTCAAAGATTAGTTTCACCCATTATTATGAGTGGGTTTTGAGTCATTTTAGTTAAAAATGAAAAATCGAGCCTGAAAGAATTAATACTCATAAGTGTTCAATAAGTATTTTTGTTATTTTTTACTCGGCCAAATGAATAAGATTATGTGTTGTACAATCTTTAAAAGGTAGAATTCGTTCTTAGAATAAGTAAATAGTTTGTATCTCAACAAATTTTTATTAATTAACTTTAGAACTTAGTATTATATTATTATAAAGGTTTTGGTGTCGAGGGAAATNTTATTATAAAGGTTTTGGTGTCGAGAGAAATTAAAGGGAGTTATCCTCTCCCTTAAACAAAAAATATTTCTATGCTACGTAAGATTATATAATATTAAGGTAATCTTGGGACTTTTCAAAGTGGCTCAAACAAAATGTAAAATGCATGTAAATCCACTCAATAATTATAGAATATTTAATGTACATAAAATTTTTAACTAGTTAAAGCTCACCAACTTCTACTGGTAAAGCCATAATGACAGTGTAGCAGTTAAGGTTGTGGAATTTGCTTGCCATATGGGACAAATAACATTCAATTTAATAATGGAAATAATAAGAATAAAAACATTCTATTATTAAAAATTAAAAGTTATATTACCAATTAATATATTTTTTTCTTCTTCGGTATACTGAATAATTCTCCAAACATTGATTCCTTTTTTTTTATTCGTATCTTTAATTGATTCTAAATACGTTTTTGGGATCTCACCAGTTACTAAAGGTTCAACGAATAGTCCAACCTTGTTAAATGATGTATAAATAGAGTTAGACAAATAATAAATCCAAAAAGCTTAATTCTATAATTACATAAGCATCTAATAATAGTTGAGCTGATTTTTTATCTTCTTCGCTATTTTCATTATTTGGAAATCCCCATAATGTATCTAAGCAAATGCAAATTTCACCTAAAATCAGAAAATGTTAACATCAGCTCAAATTCATAAAATAACAATTTTTTGATCATAAATTGAGCAGAGATTTCTTTGAATCAAACATTTCACGGGCCACGCGACTCGTGCCACCTTTATCAGACGTCGCCCTACTATGAGGATTTGACTGACCAACACCGTGTGCAATACGCCACGGTGCAAAATCCAGCAAGTGTCGTACGGCCGACGACGACCTGCCGCAAATGATACGTTGAGTTTTCTTCCCGTTGTCAAAGTGACATCGTCGAGGACGTACGTCACCGGCTCCGGCGTGCCGCACGACAGGTCTCGACGAACCGATCCGCACCCGCGCTCCGTCGCCATCAACGCTGCTAACTTTTTCACGACGAGGATCATGCCGGACGCTAGCGAAAGTGTCGCGATATTGTGCGAAAATTGTTACTAACTATATTCGTCTTTTCGGTTTGTTTGTTTTTTTAAATACCCTCAAAACCAGTGTCGACTACATTATCGCAACGTAAGTCGTATCAACTATAAAAGATCCTGTTAACTTGTTTATACATTTATGTAATAATTAGTGACACGGCACCGCCTTTTGCTCTAGGCTGGCGCTCACCCGTGTCTCTCGATATCAGCCGTCCAGCTATTAATATGACAATCGGTCGTCTCCCCGCCCTTGACACTGTGATAAGGCCGCCGCCGAATATGGATTACCGATATTGCGTTCTGTTCCGTTTCCGACGTACACCTTAACTGGTTGCTCGATTCTGTTTTTTTGTTGTTTTCTTTTCCAGCCTTTTTAGTTAGTTTTTGTTTACGCTTTCGCCGTCTGTATTGCGACTGTTATTTTTTTTTCTCCTCCGCCATATACAGATACCATTAGCATATAATTGTGCGGTGTGTCATAAGTGGATTACGCATTAAGTATATATATATACTTCAATATTTATTTATTTGGTACATTACGTACACGCTAAACCGTATATTGGATTACGCATTATTAGGGACAAGCCGAATATTCAGGACTAAAAAAGTTCTCTCTAATTTGATTTGATTGACCGAAAGTTCAATAAAGCAATAAATTCAAATTAAATTAGAGAGAATTTTTTTAGAAAGCCTATAGATTCTGTATATAGAATACATAATGTTATAATAGTCTTCTTTTTTATACTAAATTAATACCTATAGGAAATATTTATTTAAATCTAGCCGATACTTAATAATTATTATAACTTAATAAATAAAAAAAAAAATAATACCTTTTTAGTAGTATAGACCTCTTAAAATCCCGACTACTATTTTCTTTTTCACTACATATTTTAGTCACAATTACCATTAGTTCAAGTTTTTTTTAAGAATATCGGACAAAATATTATTCTAGTTTATGCATTCGTTATTAACTATTAATTAACCGTCATTTCAATTAATTTTAAATTTACATTTACAATATATTGATCGATTTCTTTGTCGGCATATGCCCAATGCATTGCATTACGCATCTTATATTTATCAATGAAAAATTTATTATCTGTATTTTATATTTCTTGTATACAAACAAATAATTTATTTGTCATAATACTTACACTACCGTACACATTGTCTTATAAATTGTATACATGTTAACTGTTAGGGGTCTGTTTAATAGTTGAGGAAAAACCAAGAATCGGAAGCTACCCGACGTCTGCCCAAATATCGTCCCTATCTCCTTAAATGAGTTTTAATTGCCTAAAGGAGACACAGGCAATCGTGTACCTTAGTTACAGAAGATAGATTATTAAATAAAATTAGATTATTGTCTTATGTCAACGACAAAGTTAGATGTTCAGTAAATATAAGTTGTATGTAATGTACAATACGTCTGACCTGAATCCTAGTACAGTTGGTTAGCAGGTATATCCAAGTGAGATGGAGTTGGTTGGCTATGATGATAATTGGCGATAGACGGGTCGTTGAATAAAACAAGTTAAGTTATAGTATAAATAAAACGTAAGTAATAATATTGAAAACTATGTCTATAACGGCCACTCAAACACAACTGCCCTTTGTTAGTTCGACGTCAGTAGCTCCGGACTATAGACGAGTAGAATTGTCACATCAGCATCTCCCTCTATGCTAATTAATATGTATTACGAATTAAATAAATAGAATTAAAACGTGTGTAATATAAGTGGTAAGAACATAGTAATAAATGTTCTTACATAACTCAATCATTATTAACCACGTGCCTTATCTTAAAATAATAATCATGAAATGTTTAATTTTGTCACAATAAAAATGTATTTACTAAAAGGCGTTGACGCAATATCCCTAAGTTGGGGGTAATTAATATACTATAAAAAGACCAAATAGCCTCACGAACATCATCGCGTTCGATTTCTTTATCTCATCTCATTCGACACATTCGTATATTTCGTTTGATAAATCGTGGCCTCGTGTTGTAGTCAGTATATTTTTGTGATTAATATAATTCATTTGTGTTAAAACTTTATAATAAAATATGCCCTCGATATCTTCATTGGTGAAAATATTAGTATATTTAAACGAGATTTTAAATTAGACATTTCTACGCATACTAAATCAACGATCAAAGCAACTTCAAATCAACGACTATTAATTTGAATACAAGGTAAATCAATTTGATCTATCCCGTTTATTTAGAATTAACAATCTGAGTAAAGAATAATAAATCAATAGATTTTCACATTTATATCCACCATTTTTAAGATAATCACCTCGACAAGGTATTGGACAGAAGGCCTCGGCCTCTACAATAATACTTAGGTGAAATATCTTCCTTAAATAATAATAATGGTCAATAATTGATTTATGCTCACACTTTGACTGGGTGTCTGAAAGAAGGCCACGGGCCACTTCAAGAATACTTTAACGTCATATTTTTAATGCTAGTTAATTACATTATTATTATACCTCAACATAAGAATAACACCCTTTTTCATTTTATATTTACTTGTTTTTATTGTTCTAAACCCTCGAACTCTACAACCCCAATAGAACCTCGATGCTCACCCATTGACCAAAACCCCAAATATCCCAATCTTGGTTAATTAACCACCTTAAATCTTTCTATTTAGTTTATCTTTATTTTTTTAACAAGTTTTCAAGTAACTTATTAGTTACATGTTTTTTTTGTGTTATATATTATACACTTATTAAAATTATTATAGACCATAATAGATTTTTTTTTAATGAATGATATCTTAACTATAAAATGTGTGACATAGATGATTAGGCTGTTGTTGTAAAGGGGAGTGTTGATTCCAAACTGAGTTGTTATCTCACTCACAAGGAAAGATTATAGTGGTGAAGCGGTCGATTTATAAAATTTTTATGAATATAATCAGCTCTAAGCTGGTTTAACTCTTTATAACAAAGTATATGATAATCCTTCTTGTTTTCGGTTTCAGCGTCGACTGTTTAAAAAAACGTTTACTATGTAATTAAAAGATGTAAAACGCTAATTTTCGAAATTTTTTTCAATTTTCTTTACTAAAGTTTACTTTAGTAAACTCTTTACTAAAGAGTTGTTATATACACGTAAGACGCATTACACGCTATTGGTCAGTCAAAATAAAAATTTGTTTATATATATATATATATAATTGATGACAGGCATGCGTGTGCGGGTACGAAAACCAAAAATATAAAATTATACAGGAATAGTGTTGTCCGCGTGATGTGAGCGGGGTGGGGTAAATGCGTTACGACAGTCTAGTCTCAAGGTCATAGACGACACGACACGTGCGCGTGGAGAGTTACACACAGCCCACAACCCTCATACATGNTGAGCGGGGTGGGGTTACTGCGTTACGACAGTCTAGTCTCAAGGTCATAGACGACGCGACACGTGCGCGTGGAGAGTTACACATAGCTCACAACCCTCATACATANTACACACAGCCCACAACCCTCATACATGTGAAACTAATATAAGCGTGTTAAAAATGGGTCGAACACATCTAATAAACTAAAATATGTCTTACCTTTTTGTTTGGTTTTAAAATACTTTTCATACAGTCTATAGACTCTAGCATGAGCTATTAGCATATTATGAATAACCATGTAATCTCCTATTCCGCTATAAGCTTCACCTAATTGTGGAGCATGTGGATATTTTCCTCCATAACCCTCAGATATCATCCTGGGTTCATTGATCGTTGTCCAATACTTAACCTATTATAAAAATAGTGAGTGTATATAAGTTAAATTATAATCAGGGTTTGCTTAATTATTTTTGTTAGTAATGCGAAATTTTTTTAATCTAATTGTAAATTATCGTAGTTATCTTGAAAGAAAAATGATTAAATGATTTTATTTTATTTTAAATACTCCAAACAGATCAAAAATATTTTAATATTTAATGAATATCAGAGATAATTAAAATTTTTATTTTGAATTAATATTACAAAAAATCCAAAATTCATTATAAAATTAATAATAGGTTCTTCATTCTCGACTGCGACAATATGTTTATATTTATAATTATTTTCAATAGTTGAGAAAAAAATTATGAAATAGTAGGTCAATTCTAGATTCTAAATTTTGTTTAATTTACCTTATTTCCATAAGTCTTAAAAACGAAATTTGCATAGTTCACATAATATCTTATAATATTTTCATTTGCCCAGCCACCAAGAACTTGAAGTGATTGGGGTAAGTCCCAGTGATAAATTGTAACCTATTAATACAATAATGAATTGTTTTTTAAAGTTATAGTATAGTAAACAATTTTGTAAATATAATACGTATACGAGTGATTGGCCTATAGAGTACGCTACGTTTAAAAGGTTCAATGGATTCGAGAAGATTCAGTAGGGTAACGCAGATGGAACTCCTATAATCTTCTCGACGCGTAACATTAATCTTAATCTAAAATGTTATTGTGGTTATTTAATCATCACAAGGTGATTAGTATCCACGAAGTCAATCCTTTTACTTTAACAAAATGGACATATAATTTTTTCACTAATTAATGATACAAAAAATTATTATAGTTAATATTTTATTATTATCTATGTATAGAGTTATAATGTAAAATCATCTAATATACATACCAATGGTTCGATATTGTTAGCGAGTAGTAAATCTATCACTTTATGATAATAATCAACACCATCTTGGTTAATAGTATGATCTTGTCCTTTTGGTAAAATTCTTGGCCAACTCAATGAAAAACGATAAACTTTTACCTGAATTTTTTTTAAAATTAATTCATTGAGTAAATTAAATAATTTAGTATTAATACTAAAATGTTAAATAATGAATTTATAAATTTATTAAGTCTTATAAAATATATTTTATAAGATTTTATGAAAACTAAACGTACTCCTAGTTCTTTGAGTAATTTTATGTCTTCCTCATATTTATGATATGAGTCACATGCAACGTCTCCATTTAATAATACGTTGTCATCCTCAAGAGGACTATGAAAACGGGTAATCGGTTCTGGTGACAAATTTTGAAAAAATAGATTGTCTTTTTGGATACCAATAAATTTATATTTATGGTTCTTAATAAAGCTGAATGCATATTTATTAAATGGTATTGCAAAATAATTTTGATTTGTCCCATTGTTACTGCTATGATATAATTCATCCCAAATACTTTTACTTTTTCCTAGAATAGAAAGTAATAAATTTACAAATTAATTACAAAAAATTTAAATAATTAAGAACATGTATAAATAATCAATTTTCAATTGCAAAAACCAATTTATTATATTAAAATAAACTGTTTTGAGTACATTGAAACGTTAAAAATCTAGAATCATAAAATTATTATTCAACCGAAATCGTAAAATATTTCTCATTTTAAATTTTCAGTGGATCTAATTTTTTTGTTGCCTGAAAGCTATTACGGTTGAAACTTCCGATTTTTTTGTTAAAATCATCTACCACCATACTAAAATATNAAATCATCTACCACCATTATTAGTTAAGCATACATCTTGAAAACTATCTAATTTTTTTTTCAATTTTGCAATGGTACCCAATTTATAATAATCNTTTGTTAAAATCATCTACCACCATACTAAAATATAGTCATACTAAAATTACCTTTCAAATATATTTGGAATTCATGTTCGAATACTTGAAGTAAAAAGTATTATGAACACATAAGTGAGATACTGGTAATACTGTCCTTCAGTTAATATCACCCATATTAGTAACTCGGTAAAAAGCAACATTTTTTAGGTAAGTGTCAAAATTTATTTTAGGAGCTTAGAGTTAATCTATATCAGTATCAAGTCGTTATTATTTCTTATTACAAAATTATGACCGTTTGTTTTTTTTTATAGTGTTTGATGCAATATTTCACTGTTAACTTAATCTATTGGTAAGTCTATTTTCATTTATTTTCAATATTTTTAGTAATAAGTGTTAGCTAAACATAAAATCTTTAATACAATATTATTATTCAATACTTATTAAAATTGAGTACTGAATAAATTTAAATTTGTTGAAAAATTGTATAATCAAATTATTCCGTTTATAGTGAGCATTATAATCCGACATGACAGATTTTCAATGATTTTCATTTGGAATCCTCAACAATGTATGAAAAAACTGAGATGTCAGTTAAGTGGCTTAGTTATGGGGGGGAGGGAGATGGGGATTGATACCTTAGAAGAAATTTATTTACACGGTAAAGATATAATTTTCTTGGTTTGCAGTGTTATAATACATTCACCACCCATTATTCAGTAGTCTATAAATTATGGTCTATTAGTCATCAAATTTAATATAAAATATTCATGTCAATCCTTTAAACTATACCGAGAAATATGTCTAAAAATGCATTACTACAAATCTAATGTAATCTTATTATATAATAAAACAAGGAAAAAAACGCTTTTCTGAAAAAATTACTTAGCGTGCTCGGATTTTCAAAATAACTATAAGAAATTCTTTAGTTGTGACAAATCATTTATTTTAAGTAAAATAATATGTAATAAATAACACAATTGAGTAATAAACAGATATTAGTAAAAGGCCGTGACACTTCTTGCACATATAGATGAATTATATTTTATATAAAAAGGGCATAAAAACTGTCATTCACACACTCCTGCTTCACTTTATGAACTTTCAACGAGTGCAAGAAGTGGTTCGACAAATTTTCAAATTCACACAGAAAATTGAGGTATATTTATTTTTTCAACCTTACTTCTGACATCATTAAGGTAAATTCATATTTCACAGAAGATTTATAAGACTTAAAGTTAATTATTATAAGTATATAAATTAACTAGGGATCCAGAAATATTAAGTGATCTCTAGAATAAAATATTGTATAGAAAATCAATAACGTTTGTACGAAGTTAGCCAGCCTAGTCCAATCTTTGAGTGTTACTAATAAAGACTCTCTGACAAAGATAGAGAACCCACTTGTAATTCCTATACTACTCGAGGTATTTATTGACACGACTCATAGTCAGTACAAGCTTAGATAACTACTGGTACGAGTGGTGTTATGGATAATTTATGTGTGATAATTAAACATAATAATTTATATTTTAAATTATTATTATATGATAAATTTTCAAACATCTTTTTGTTTTTCTATATTTTATATTTTCTCATAAAACCCTCGTACTTATATCCCGAGAGAAAATTATATTATATCATTTTATTCAATAAATATATAGTAACTTAATTATAATGAGCAATAATGGGTTAATTTTTAGTAATGTAAAAAATTGTCAATAACATTTAAATACCGCAAAATGAGAAATATAATAATTCAATAACATTTGAATATCGAAAAACGTGTAAAACATACAAATTAATATTATTTAAATAACACAAAACGGTAAACATTATAAAGTCGTAACGTTTTGATAATTTAAAACCCAATAAATATTGTTTATGTTATAACTGTTGTAACGTAAGAACAAAACAAATAATTTGATTCAAGCGCTGTATAATAGGTATACTATTAATATATGTAGTTCCTAAAATTTAAGTATTTCATTTTAAGATGTGCAGGGTTTAGTTAAGAGGTGGGTAGACGTATACATAAGATATACATATACATGTAGATCTCACAAGAACAAAAGTATTTACACGATGAAGATACAATTTTTTATTTTTTGGTTTTGGGAAGTAAAAATTTTATCTTATATATATATAACCTTTTATAACGAATTCCAATTATCCAATTATATCAAATCAACCGCAGCAATATATAAAGTGAATTTACACTACCTAAGTTAATAGCATTAATAATCTGAGTGAAGAACGATAAAACAATAGATATAATATTTACATATCAAATTACAAACTTTAATCAATTATTATAATAATTGATTAAAGTACGAACTAGTTTACTGACTAGTATGTCTATTATATTATTAGGTATATCTATTAGTCATATTAGAAGGTATTCGAGAGAAGGCCACCGCCGCTTCATTGCCTCGGTGTACTTTTAAAGATTAATTTACCAGTTACCTTGTTTTTATACCTAAAAAAATAGAGCAACTAATTAATAATTTTTGTATCACTTGTTTTTATTGTTTTGAACGCTCGGACTTTTCGCAGCAATAAAACTCTTCATACAAAATGATATCATATAACTTTACAAATCTGATCATTACAAGATTTTCATAAATAAGTTTGGCCCATTCTATTTCAACGCAAGCGCAAGAAGGTATATAAGCAATTAAAATTGACAATTTTAATGACTAGTTATTGAGAAAAAAAGGTATAACGTTATCAGAAGTAGCAAAGTATCACTCCTAAAATCTTACAGGATCCACACCTGTCTCGATAACAAAAATTTTTAAATTAAAGATACTTTTAAGTACTAAAGTGTGTATATATATATAATACTTAGTATTTCAAGNAAATTAAAGATACTTTTAAGTACTAAATGTGTTTATATTCCTAATACTTAGTATTTCAAATACAAATACTACTAAAAAGTATACTAAGAATACTAAAAAAATATCCAAATACTAGAATTTAAATAAAAATATTCGAGTACTTTAACAAGACTGATAATAGTGACTAGGATTCGGGACTTAATGTATTTTAAAAGTTTATTTTAGTTATCCCAAGGACATACATAATAAATAATTGTTTTTATTTTTCTTTATCCTTTATAATCAATGTATATTAATTAGGATTTTAGATTTGTGGGTACGTAGGAGGATTATTTCCCATAAAATATAAAAAATTTCTCTGGTACTGTATATAGGATAATTTATGATAAGACACTCATTGTCTCGAAAACTATTGAACATTTTTAATGTTTGTAAAGTAATATATTGTTTCATTTATAAAACTTTACAAAACTAAGTAGTTAAATAATTTTTTTTTCATTCCTTCAGGGATAAATAACCTTAATATTAATTTTTTTAAACGAGAATCTATAAGTTTTTCTTGATAATATGATAGAAAAAATATTATAAACAATTTTGTTCTTATAATAATACTTATCTGATCAACCGTTAGTAATTAAAAGCATTAATAATCTGTGTCAATGGCCTATAAATTATTTTTATAGTAGTTAACAAACGGTTTTCAACACTGGTGGTCTAACAATGCATGATGGTAAACTATAATAATACGCATCTTTTAATAGTCATCAATGAATTCTGTATACAGAACAGTAGATAACGATAGAAATTTGATTTAATCACACTAAACTTTAACACGCTGAACCGGGCAAACAGTTGATCACAAAAAACAATTTAAACAACAAATTTTTTTTAATTTTTTCAATTATATTATCAAGATAAAATTAGGGTTTCTCATTAAAAAAAATTAATGCTAAGGTTTTCTATTCCTGAAAGGATGAAAAAAAAAATTATTCTACTACATAGTATTGTAAAGTGAGTTTTTTGAATCAAACAATATTTTTTTTAACAAAAATTAAAATTGTTCAATAGTCTCCGAGAAAATTAGTATCTTATCTTTAATGAAACATTCTGTATATCTATGATAAATTTTAATGAAGTTGGATGTTTTGGAATAAATTTTATAAATGCATCATCAAGTTCCAAAACCTAATAATAACTTTTTAATTTCATCAAGTCTGATTATACACAAAGCGAAAGTAATGTAAACATTATACTCAAAGATGTCCGTAACAAAAATTCACTTTAAAATTTTTAAACTATAGAAATACGTTTTTAGCATCTTAAATTTAAAGGCAGTTGCTACAAAATTTGTTGACATTTTTTATGTCACATTAAAAAATATTTTTGATTAATAGAAATTTTTTTTTTGTTTATATTTAAATTCAATTTATTATATAAAAATAAATAAAATATTGGTTATTAACAGATTGGAGGACACTACTGCAATATCAGTAATATGATATTTTGATTTAGGTGACAACGTTGTTATTGTAGTAACATGATAAAATTCATGATATGGCATTATAGCTATAATATTAGTATTTTCAATGGTACCAAATGATAGTAGAAATTCAACTGCCACATTACGTTTAAATGATTATCAAAATTATAAATTTCCGTTTATGTGTTAAATTAAAAATATTTATTAAGTATATTATATCATACAATTTTTTCAGCGTTGTTTACAAATGAACGAAATCGATTTTTTTTTTAAGGCAAATAAGGACTTTTTATTTTTTTTTATTTTAAAGACTCTAATTTCCCTATAAATTATTAGGGAAGTTATTTTTCTGAAAACGTGTTCTACTTACCGTCTTCATTCCAGCCACCTTCTATTTGATAAGCACTTGATGAAGCACCAAATAAAAATTTATCTGGAAACTTAACAACTGAAGCAGAACTTATACTAAATAACAATATGACTAAAAAATAATGGGAAATACATTTATATGGACAAAAATTTGCCATATCTAAAGACTTCTTTTATATTTAAAGAAATATATTCCTATAGCTTATTAATATCTTGGCAAGTTATTTTAAAAACTTAAAATGGTAAAAAATTTTTTTTTCATCATTATTTATATCAATCCACCAATGTTAATTAAGACTTTAATCCATGCGGAGTATAAAAACTTTTATCATGTTTCTCTATTATATTAATACGTTAATTTAATAAGGAAGATTATTAATTAAATTTCATTTGAAATAAATATTCATCAAATGATTTTATTATCATTTCATGCATCTAAAAAAACATATTAAAAGCTTTTAATGATCTAAATTATTTAAACATTAAAAGTGCTTTTAAATTGTTATTATATAACTCTAAAATATTAAAATGAATTGCTATGTTTGATATGTATTTTTTAGGTAAAACTTCGTGTTTATAAATATGTTTAAAGAACAGAGTATTTCCGGAACTTTTTCAAAAGTTTAGTTGAAAAAGTTGAGTTATGTAAAAAGTTGCTATTTTGAATCCCTTCCTATGAGCAGGTTAAATGTTAGATTTTCAAAAAAATGATATCAAATAAAAGGAAAATATATTATGTTTTAAAAAAAAAAATTATTTTGATTTGTTTATTTTTCAATAAGTTTAATTTTCAGACAAAAAAAGTGAAAAAAATGTCGAAATTTACCGATTTTAAAAATCGTAATTTTAGGGAGGTTTTCACCATTTACGGGAACGAGGAAAATTTTTTTTAAGGTAATGTCTTCAACTATATACGATTTGTGATCTTTTTACGTATTATCGAGAAAAATTAGTCTAGTGAGAGCTGAGAAAAAGTAGTGACAGACACAAAAAATAAAAAAATGAACACATCATGGTAAAATTAATACTTTCTCAGCTTCGCATCGAAGCTAAAATTTTTTATCATTCTTAGCATTCCCTTGCATCACCGACCAATTAAAAATGATTTCAAGAAATTTTAGCCGAAAATTAATATTAAATGAAATAAACTTTTTTAAACTAGTTAAGTATCAAAAAAACTCATCTTATCTTAGCTAGTTAAATTTATAATTTAATAACTTATAACTGTTA